AACGGACACTAGAGGCGCCCCTATCGTGTGTCATATTTCAAACATTCAAATTACCAATTTTAATTCTTATTTAAATTAACAATATGAATTATTATTATTCATTTGGCAATAAATTATTATTTGGTCAATATAACAATATAAATAATTCAGTATATTTATAATAGGAATTTATTATTTCAGGGGCTTATATCTCGCAAAGGGTCGCGAGTAGGGGTATGGTTCCTTTGCCTTTTTGTTCGCACAGGGGGCTACAGTTTGGGGGGGGATCGCCACCTCTTCACCTAATCTTACCATTGGGACTTTAACACTGCTGTACAGCATATTGATAGGAACAAAAAAGTCAAAGGAACCGTGCTTCATGGAAATTTGTAAACAACGCCCACTAGGGGGCATCCCGGGCTACTAGTTATAAATATTTTGTTAATTTATGTTGCTCATTTTTGAGCTACTGTAGCTATTTCTAATCTTTCTATAAACCAATCTTCAACATTATGAGCTAAATTCAAAAAGTTCCAGGACTGGTGACACGGTGCTACAATCAACCACATGCTGAACTTGCGTAAACTAGTGTGTGTATGTATATATATATAATAGACATCATTATTCAGGTTCCCACCAAATTTCATGCCATTATTGTATGCAGTATTTGTTTCTTACTTGTTAGATTGGATCTGTTTTCACCAATTTGTGATTTTCCTTGCTTTGTAAAATGAATTTTTTCAAGTAACAGCATGTGTGTGAAATTTTATTTTAAACCTGGCAAGACTGCAACAGAAAAAGTGATTATATGAGATGAAATAGATTTATGGCTATGATCCTGAGACCAAACATAATCAAATCAGTAAAAAAAATCATGGCTCACACAGACCAAAGGAAGCATGCCAAGTGAAGTGCAATCAAGAGCATGCTCATATTTCCCTTCCTATAAAAAAAATTCAATTTTTCAAGAATTTATTCCCCAAGGTCAAACTAAATCAAAGGTTTTATATGGATGCTTGAGGCACCTACATGAAAATATCATACAAAAAAAGACCAATATTTGGAAAGCTCAAAACTAACTGTTGTATCATGACAACGCTCCATTCACACAACTGTATCTATTCAAAAGTTTGTTGCCAAAAATAAAATGGCTGTGGTTCCCTACCTTCCTTATTTACCAGATTTGGCGCCATGCAACATTTTTCTATTTCCACAGCTAAAAAACAGTGCTGAAAGAATATCAATTTGAGAACATTGATTACATTCAAACAGAATCATAGCAAGTGCTTAACAATGTAAAAGAAAAAAGTTCCAAAAATGTTTTGAAAACTGGGAGAAGCACTGGAATCTATGTATAGCTGCAGAAGAAACTTATTTTGAAGGCAACAATTCTCAATAAATTAACATGTACATCAGACATTTTTTACTGGATCAGTCCCAGAACTTTTTGATTGCTCCTCGTATTTTCCACGATTTGTTTTTATTCCTTGATAGTCAGATGGCCAAGGCTTAATGAAATCTATCATTCTGCAGGACCCAGAATTGAATCAGGATAGGTGGAGAATTCCAGCAATTTGCAATGGGTAGGCTGTCTCAGATATATTAGGTCTCATCCCTCACCATCTGTCACCCCATTATGGTCTTGACCAAATCCATTATGAGTGTAAAATATATATGTGGTATACTTGCAGAACCAATTGACAGCATATATTGAGGGTTACTTGTATAACAGTTACTCAAAGTATAAAAATCTTTTAAAAACTTTCTTTCCTGTACTTGCTTAAAAACTACCATTTTTTTTAATCTTGCTGACTGACATGATGTCATAGGGTGAAATACTATTCTCAATGAGCCACATTACTGAAAGTAATATTCAATTTTTAACACTAACATTTATTTTTCAGCCCAAAATGTAGAAAATTCTTATTTTTACAAAAAAATCCTATGCAAGTTATCTCATAGCTGGTATATGAAACAGAAAATTCTTTGAATAGACAGCCTACAAGACAACTTAATCAATTTGGATAAAACAAAATATAATTAGAGGTCATGATAATGAAAAAGTCTCGCATTGATTGATTAGATTAAATGCTTTATTATTATTTAGTGCTAAGAAAAACAAATTATATGGCCAGAAAAAAAATGCATATTCTGGAAATAATTATACATAGTGACTAATCCTTTCCATCAAATAACATTTCAATTATAAAGTCTGAGATGGTCAATGAATCTCTTTTCTTCTACATTTCATTGGAAATAAAAAACCAAATGCTGTAAAGAAAATTAGAAATGAAGACATTTCATTACCTGGAAGCTATACCATCCACTGGAAAAAGAAAGTTATGCCTGAGCAAGCCATAATGCGTATGCACAAAATAAAAAAAAAACACGAAACATGCTATGCTATTATTGTTCTGTATTTCACATAAAAACCAGCTTCTCTTTGCAAAGTACTTTAACAAAATATTGTCAACATATTTTGTATTATTATTCTTCAATATTCTGTTCTCTAATGCCAAAGCTTATTTTTCAGTCTTATTTCAGATTTAAATTACACTTGTTTACTACAAATGTGGTTATTTATAAAGTTGAATTGCATTCAATGATAGAAATAAATATATTTGTAACACATTTTGCAAGACTGTTTTACAAGATAATTCATAAATGGTATCAGGTAATTCTTGATAAGTAGATTGACAACTACAATTTAACTTTCATTTTATAACAAACATGTTAAACAAGCACACTTAATCATAAAATCCTGATTTTTTAATATGTAAAATTTTTAAATATACAGTAGAACCTCGATTATCTGCCCTAATTGGGGACTGGGGTTGGTCGGATAATTGAAAAGTCGGATAACCGAAAAGTGTGAAAAAATCTATTATTAGTGTAGTATATTATTATATCCCATGTAATTAGTATATTAGTATATTGCTATTAACCTATTTTGTGTTGAATTTTCATCGATGTTAAGCCTAACAAAAATTTTTTAAAATAATAATTGTCGCTATTGTAGCGCCACATCACTAGCAGACATTTGAAATTTGCCGACTAGGACGGTCGGTTGATCGGGGGGTGGATAATCGAGGTTCTACTGTACATATAATCAATATAGCAATTTTTAAAAACACTCAGAATTATTCATTAGTTTCTAATTAATTTTTGATATATATATACAAAACATATATATCATGTTATCATATGTTTTTTATACTTAAACTTTTAATTATTTCTGTAAAACACGTAAAAAAAATTATTAGCTAGCTATTTGAAATTAAAATTTGAATTTTTTGTATGTAATCATGTAAATATTATCAAAGCTGATTCAAAAAACCACTAGCTAGACCAGATCATTAGACTGTCAGATTTAGTAATGATCCAATATAATTAAGCTGCATTGCCACAAATTTAATTTTTATTGAAATATTCTAAATTCAAATTTCCAAATCTAAATGTTTAGACCATTACTGTTCATAAAGAATTTGTTATGTAACAAATAATTCACGTATAAAAAGTTTGGATATTTTCTCTTTTTTTCAATTGCATCATGAAATATGTAACTAAACTGAATGATTAATATTTGGTTCACTACAAATTATGATTACAATTGGCATCATAAAAACATTTGATTTCAATTGCATCAATAATGACATTTGAAAAGCAAGTATATTTATCATATTTTTATCAATAATTTGTACTTTAACTTATCTTATTCTCCATATCAAAAACATTTATATTATTTAAATTGTTTTTATACCTAGTTTTCTATACAAATTACTTAGTCTAATACACATTTTCATTTGTTTTATTCTTGTATTTTATAAAAACTTATTGAATAAAATTAACAGAAAATACAAAAAAACTTAGAACTTAATTATTTTCTTTTAATTGCATACTTGATAATGTGAAATAAAAAATTATTGAAACAGTGAAATTACATAATCTAATATTTTTGAAAGCAGAACTGATAAATTAATTTTTTTTTCAAGATTATGTAGATGCAGGTATATCAATAATTGATTACTGGTGAAGTTCCAGCATTTTATGAAGACAGTACACACTTCTCCAACAATTAAATTTTGTTGATCAAAACAAAATGTTTTTAGCCTGATTAATAAGCCTTCATCAGGTTACAGAATAAAATTTAGATATTCCGTAATAGAATTTCTGTTTTCAAAACAATCTCTATTTAAATTTTGTTGCTGGAAAAATAAGTAAGGTGTGTTTAGTGTCTCCATAACAGATAAATTCATAATTTTAAATTACATTTCTTAACAATTTGTTAAAAAATAAAGCATTATTTTATTGACTTCGGACTGATGTAAAAATGTTTTTAAAATTTTCAAATTAAATATATATGTATTAATTTCTAAAGAATTAAGTTTTTTTTTTTTTGGTTTTTCATAGAAAATTATTTCATTCAGAAATATTACTTTTTTTTTAATATTAGTTTTATTGAAATTATGTGATTTGTTTACTTCTATTAGTTCTGATAATCAACTATAGACATAAAATATCATTTGAAGACAAAGACCGAGCATAGATAATACTGGTATGATAAAACAATCATGCAATATGAAAACAAATAACTTACCAATCATCATCCGAACAGTTTCTGCATTGAAAGGTTTCCATGTACCTATCAAAATACAAAGATTTTATATATTAATATTTTTATTTTGATAGCGCATGTATAATAATTAAGTTTAAGAATTATTCATTTTTAAAAGTAATACTAAATGTTACATTTTTCTAATACTATTGATTTTTGATGATTATCTTTTTTTAATATTTCTTTTGTCATTTCTATGAAAATAGATAATTTTTGTTTAAAATAATTTCAATTTCTTAATATTTCTGTATTCTCTTCCTATGTTTAATTAACCAAGATAATTCTAAAGTGAATTTTGGCATATAAAATCAATTTGAAATATACAATTTTCTTCAACTAAATTTAACTCAAAACTTTTATTTATAGGATTGATTTAGTATGTGTCCTGTTATAAGTAAATTTAGCATGTAATATTAGATTTGCTAAATTTACATATCTACTTATTTACAGTAGAACCCCTCTAGTCCGCCCTCGGCTAGTCCGTCACTCCGGTTAATCTGACTGTGGTCGGAGTCGAGAAACTTGTCCCGACTTGTCAGTGACTCACCGTCCGTAGCATTCTTCTGTGTTCGTTACAGTATATGTTTTACATTGTGTGTACGTGTAGAGTTTTGTGTGTGTTTTCAATATGTCAGGAGTGAAACGTAAACATGTTACTCTTTCATTAAATGAAAAATTAGCAGTGCTGCAAAGACTGGACAAAGGGAAGATTGTTTATTTTACTTTTTTCTGATAATCCAACCTTTTTTGCGTTCCGACCATACCCCCAGTCCCAAAGGTGATGGATTAGAGGGGTTCTACTGTATATTAATTTTATATTTTCATTTACAAGATGTGACAATTTAATTCCCATAATGCACCTTTAAAAAACACACACAGTAAGTCAATGTATAGATGCACAAGGAGATAATTTTGAGGTAATAGTAACCACTAGTGTTACTACCATCTTTAAAGTTATCTCCTTGTGCATCTATAAATTGACTTGCATCCATATATTCCCATTTCTGGAGGCAGGCCTGAAACTCCCTTTTCAAGAATACTGTTGGGTAGCCATCTCACATTCTATAGGATATCAGTTACATTAGAAAATATTCATCTCTTCACAGCTTTTAATTTTGGAAGTAGCCAGAAATCAGAGGGAGCAAAGTCTGGTGAATAGGCAGAATGATCTAATTGGGTAATTGCTTTTTTACAGAAAGTATCTCACTGTGAATGTACTGTGACATGTGGATCATTCATCAGGACGACATCTTGTCAGATCATAATTCGGGTCTTTCTTAAAACAGAATCTTGTGACGGATGAAGGGATGAAAATATTAGCTTGACCTTTGGTCATTTTACAATTTCGTCATTTGACTTAGATTTTTTCATCAAGAGCTATCATAAAAATTGTTTCCCACGGACTTGCTTCCTTGTTGAGGATAATCCATCTAGTCATTAATGTGTCACCTGGAACTTTTGATAAATTTCCAGTATTGGTTGCCAGGCCATTGGCAACAAACTCCTGACCTCATGGAAAAACCCCAGAAGGAAAATACCCAATAACCAGGGAGAGCTAAGAAAAAAAAATAGTCAAGTCAGTCGTCCTCCAAAGTCCATCCACAAAGAGTTGCCTCAAAAGTGTGTTAAAAGACTGTGCCTCCATCGATATCAACATACAGATACCTATCATGCCCAAGTTCTTGACTTATTCTACACCTGTCAGATACCTCCATCCGAAGACCTGTTACCCAAACAATTCAAATAAAAACCTGAAGAATCCTGTGTTTGAGTTATCCATCCTCAACTTCTTTATAAGGTATTTATCCACACACGAGTCATTTGTAAATTCTCTCTCTTGCAACAGTAAAATGCAAGAAAATAGGGATAAGATCATACATTGTGTACTCCTGCCCAATAAAATAAATTTGTTATTGTTTATTAATATGGAATCCAAGTGAATCACTTCCTCGTTTCTCTCTCCTCACCTCTACTCTGAATCCAACTGCCTACCCGCAACCGCTCGCATGACGTAAAGTCACGATTTCAGAGTCCTGCAAGACTCAGTGGTGTCACATCCTAACGCAGTGTCAAAGAGACACCGACCCTACGGTCACAATCTTAATCTCTTCAGCACTCTAAATAGCATTGTTGATTGACTGTTCTTGTTTTCAGCTGTCTGTTTCTAGAATCGTCAGTCATATCTCATCCATCTTTGAATCTCTAACACCACTCAAACACAGTTGACTTTCATATCATCTTCAACAAATGCCACTTTGCTTGATGTTCACATAAAATTTAATATTAATATGCTGATCTAAATCTCAATAAATAATCAGTGTTAATCCATTTCTGTGAGATTTCTCCTACTACATCAATAGTGTGTGATAAGTTCTTCTGAGAGCCAAATCTAAGCCCTCACATATTCAGTTTGTTTTATATAGATATATTAAACTGGCTCTTTGCTAAGTAAAGTAGAGAATACCTGACATTTGGACTAGAAAAGATTCCCAGTACTTTGTCAAAAGTATAAAATCATTATAATTAATCTTTAGTGGCTAATTCACAAACTTTTTATAAAGCATCTTAATTTATTCTAAACTCACTACCATTTCTAATATTACAAATATTGTAATATTAATGAATATTCAAATCCAAACTCAAAATCAATGAAAATAATGGTTAGATGACATGTTTCTATATAGGTTTGTCAGTCAATATAGCTATAAGTTGGACTTAATTCAGCATTATAAAAATAAAGTTCTTTTTCCTGAGATTTTTCCAATCAATTATTAAAAATAATTTTATTTTAATGAATAAAAAAGTTAAATTAATTAAAACCGTACAAATAAGTAACAAGTGTATAAGTAAAACAACAATAGACAACTGAAACACAGGAAATAAAAATTGAATTCAATTATAATAAAAGATTAGATTTTGAAAAGCCTGTATGACAAAAATATAGTTATGCAATCTGGTTATAGGTGTTATGTTAATAGAATATAAATTCCAAAAGTAATATAGAAATCAGAAAATAAAAATGAACTGAAATCAAGAAAATAATTATTTCCTTGATTTCCTTAGCCTCTGTAAAATAGTCATATCTGTACATGAAGATTGTATATTGCTGGTGATTATGAAAACAATGTCTAAAGACTTTTTGTATATTCAGTACTTTCATATTTTATTAACTGTAAATACCATTGCCCAACTTAAAATTAATTGAAACATTTACTCAGGAAACAGTTTTTTCAAGATGTGATATCATTTCTAGAATAGTATTATTTAGAAAAGTAAGTCAGGAATTCAGACAAGTTATTAGATGTAGATATTCTCCGTTAGAATACAATTTTTTCAATACTTTAATGAAAAATCTTTATTTTTAGTAATTTTAGTACTTGATTCCTTGCTGTTCTCTCTTGGTTGTAGGTTCTTTAAAATTAATTAAACACAAATTTTCTATGGAAACCTTATCATACATAAGCATTTTTTTTGATGAAAACAAATTTAATAATATACTAGATTATAACTTAAGAATACTCAGGCTCAACATCAAAGTCAAAACCCACGAAATAAATGAAGCTTACAACCCATTAATTATGTATTTTACAATTTAGAAAAATTCTTTAAAGATAAATTAAACAAATTTATTAATTCAATCAATAGCATTAAAAACATCAACCAGTTTATTGAAAATCTCCAAAAAAATTACTGTAAATAAAGATATTAGGATGTTGAGCCTGGATATAAAAATTATTTACTGTACCATTCTATACAAAAAAGTTCATATTAGATACATTACATAATTTAGGATGTGACAACAGGACAACTCAATTTGTTGAATGTGTTTTAGATAATGATTATTTTTTATTTATTTAGAACAAAAATTTTTATAGACAATTATAAGGTCTCATTATGGGCTCTTGCATTGATCCAAAACCTGCTGAACTCTGCATAATAAAAATTGATTGCATTATTAAAACCTTTGTGAAGTAATATTTTAATGTCATTATGTTGACAACTGCTTTGTTGTTTACAATATGAAATTAACAGTGTCTCAAATGATACTTCACTACACCAATAATATCCAAGATAACATATGCTTTGAAACAAAAAATGAAAATAATGGTGTTGAACTTTTTAGATATCACAGTTTAAAGATTTGATAATTTTTTCACTTTCACATATTTCAGTTAAACAACTGTCCCAACAGAATTATTGACAAATGGCTTTATATTCACAATAAAAACAATACCTAAAACATAGATAATTTATAAAAAATTAGATTACATTCTGGTAATTTTTGAAAACAAAAAAAATATTAAAACCATGCATTATTATTCTAGCCCCCACATTGAACAACAAAATCCAAAATTTCTTCAAAATCAGAGAACCAATTAACAAAAAGATATAAAGAAAATTATTATTTAACATTACATTTTCACATGTACTTGTCAACCAGTATATTATTACATAGGTGAGACAGGAAGAATGTTAAAAACCAGAAGAGCATATATGAGATATGAAGTATAATTACATTAATTAATAAAGCAAAACCTACATGCAATGAAATAACTGAATAATTTAAATATTAATTCTTTAAAAACTGAAGTAACAGATGAAAAATGTTTACATATCTAACTATCCTACTCGGTTTGTCTATCTCTTTTAGGGAGCATATTTTTCTATATTGCTTATGTAAACTGACCAGCTTTTGGTTTATCCAATATGGGATGCTCATGCCCCTCTCCTGTTGTTTCCACATCCAAGGCAAGCCTTCTTATCAACCTCTAGCCACATTATAATGTTAAGCAGCAAATTCCAAAACCACACATTTTTGTTTTTATTAATTTACCTTATATATATGCTAGTAGGATTCTTGTAACCTAGATTACATACTTTTCAGAGGAATTTCTTTCACAGCAGTGATTTGTTTTCCCAAAGAAATCTAAAATCCATGCAGTTGTATTGCAAGTATATTTTGTGAAATTTATTAATTTATATTATTTAGCCATATATAATGCAGTAAACAGTACCAGTTTTCTGAAAGCAGTCTACTTGATTACATAGCAAGGTGCCAACCAGAAGGATCAAGATATCAAAAGTTAAAAATACAGCCTCACCTCTAGATCAACCTCATTTGATGAATATCATGTTTACTTACAGATATGCACACTTAAAATGAACTAGGATTCTAAAGACAATTCTCCAGATTTCTTCAAAATACCAGATATTTTTCCAGAAAAGCTTGAAATACTGGAATTTTGGTTCCCTGACAAACTATTGGGACAACAGGAAAAAGTCAAAATAAACAACTGTTCTATACAATATCAGATGTGCACTTATGTACTCATTTACATCCTATAATAAAATGAACAAAGTTCAACAGGAGGGTGGGAAAAAGGAAAATTCAGTGCTGCTAATTAATTAAATATATCATTTTAATCTATAAAATTATTAAATAGTTGAAATATTTTTATTTTAAATAAGTATACTCAAAAAACAAACTTATCAATTATCCATCATAAAAAGAAATCAAGATTAAATCAGAACTATCATATACAATTTACTGTTATTTAGATGTTAGTTATATTATCCATTGTTTTTTTTTTAATAGTACATAGCAGGAAACTGTGCAGCTGTCTAGCAGTATTTTCCAACTGAAGAGAAATTCCCCCTTGATCAAAAATAATTAAGATTAAGACTAAGGGATTTTTGTAACTTTTAGGCAATTTATTTTCTTCATTTCAATTTTGTACAGTTAAAATGAAAAAAAAAAAAAAAAAACATTTGAATGATTAGTAATAGATTCATTTGAATGAAAAATAACCAATCACAAGCCATCTTATATAAATGTAAAGTTTTTTTAAATCATTTAACTGATACTCATGTAAAATAAATATTGTAATGTACCAAGCATGACTAATAAACAACAAAAAACACAACTAAATGTCTTATTTTTTAAGTTTTTTCTACAAAACGTGTCTCTGAGCTATATATTTTAGAATTAAACAATTAACTGCAAAAACCCCAGTCAGAAAAATTTAACTTTATATCTACTATGAATTTATCATATGATATTAAGTTTACAGACACTTTTCAACATAAATGCATTTACTTGTAATGGTTTTTAAATTTTTACAATGAATTAAATGTTTTTGTACAAAACTGCAAAACAAGCATTAAAAATTATGAAAATGTATACAAATTTGGTTTATATAAGCAAACAGCAAATTTATTCCAAATGAAATAATCTACCAGACACTATCAGCATCCTGTTCATGAACCATGGTTTTAGAAGTGAACTTTTACAAGATATTGACTCAATATTGAATGATTCAAGGGAGAAAAAAATCAGCACCCCAAAACAATATTTAAAACTAGTTTTTTTCTCTCTTAATATATGAATGGATTAAACAATGCTTATATTCATTAGTAGTATTAATAACACAAAGTAACTTGATGAAGAAACAGTGTATTACAGTATCATCATAACATAAAACTGTTCACTAAATATACAGTGTATTATATGAAATAGATTATAAGGTTCTTCTTGGAAAAAAAAATGAATGTATTATTTGACAAATAAAATAAATTCTGTCTGTGTGTGACCTAATGAAAGGAATATAAAAATTTTGAAGTGGAATCTCATGAAAGACAATGACTTTGAATTTTATATGCTTTTGTTTTTTTTTAATTAAAAACTTTGTGCTGTCAGCACTACAGAAGCATTTACAACAAGTTCATTGGCTGCGTTCAGTAGACTCAACAGTTCTGGAGCGGTTGAGTATTTTTCTGCTGAATGCCCTCTACAGTAGCACTCTTTCAAAACATGTTTGGTGTTTCGACGTTACATTTGGTAGTCTTTCATTTATGCTACCTATTGATACACAAAACCGACTAACGCATACATCACTCATCATTCAGCAGATCCAGGTTGCTAGTTGCTATATAACAGCTACTGATTTGCTCAGTTACAACTGTTGTGTCTGCTGAATGCAGCAGCCATCACGGATTTGGCCAAAGGTGAAGGAATTTTACATGCTGTCAGCAGTTGAATTTCTATAATCGAAATTTCATTGGATTCTAAAATTACCTTTAAGGATAAACTATATAGTTTCTATGTCAAAATTGGTTCAACCCAATTTACATTATGGGGTCACAGTTCTTACCATTAGATAATGCTCGTTGTAATTCCGTTGCTGTAATAGTCCCGCTTCTATCAGTATCAACCCTAATGTAAAACAAATACAAAAATTAAACTAAACTCCCAAATAACATTATAAATTCAACGTCAAATTAAATTTGTTCTATTTACCTTTGAAACAAATTCCATAAAAATTGTCTGTCTGGTTGTGCTTGCTGTCCGTAATACGACATCTTGCATCGATTTTTAAACTTAAAACATCAAATTAAAAGTTACAAGGAGTTAAATTCAGAACCGACGTCTGAAATAACACCTTATCAACGTCACGTGTTTAGATCATCGAACATGATGTAATCTGCCAGCGATGACGGAATGGAATGAAATAATTCAAATAAAAACAAAAATGAAAGAAAAACTATTTTTTNCCATAAAAATTGTCTGTCTGGTTGTGCTTGCTGTCCGTAATACGACATCTTGCATCGATTTTTAAACTTAAAACATCAAATTAAAAGTTACAAGGAGTTAAATTCAGAACCGACGTCTGAAATAACACCTTATCAACGTCACGTGTTTAGATCATCGAACATGATGTAATCTGCCAGCGATGACGGAATGGAATGAAATAATTCAAATAAAAACAAAAATGAAAGAAAAACTATTTTTTAAATTATATTAATAATATATATATTTATTTATTACTAGTAAAATAAATATAATTATAAATATCATGACTAAGTTTTAATTATAAATTCGATTTTTAATTTCTAAATTCTGATAGAATGTAAGAAGTGAGAAATTTAAAGTTAAATTAATATTTTAAATACGCCTTACATTATTTATCTTCAAATATAATTATCTATTTTTTTAATTCTTTTTGTATGATCGTAGAGACACGCAAATAAGTCAATATACTGTATTTGAATGAATTGTGGATCGATGAGATTTCAATCCGATATCGATTATCGGGTTGAAATACCGTATTGTATATCGAGCGCTTGTAATACAGTATATAATATTTGCTTGGACCTGCCCAAATGTCTCGTTATTTCTAAGTTAAAAAGTTAATTTGAACTAAAAACGGGCAGTTATAGATAAATTTTTTTATTTAAAGAAAATTTTAGTTAAATGAAATAACTCGGTGTTATGCTCATATAATTGTGCTTATGAAATATATATTTAATTATATTATGTATACGTTTATTCATTATAACAATGAAAAACTCGTTTAATCAATTGTGGTTTTAATTTTGACATGTACAGTATAATTATTGTTCTTTGGGTTTTTTCCAAAATAGCTTTTTTTTTTTATTTTTTTTTGTGAGTGCACCACTCTGGAGTGAGTATTACACTAGAACAATGAATACATAACTGGAATGACAAGAGATATACAATAAGTGACAATGCGCATACAGTATCAACCATAGCAGAGTCGGTAGATTAACTGGTCTTTCGACTTCCTATCTTCGCTCGTTGCCAGAATCAACTAGAGACAAATGTTACCACCAGGGGCACTGCAATCACTACAAGACCGCTAGATCGAATCCCTGTGAGGTCGAATGTTTTCTTTTTATTGAAAGATATATAACCTTCGAGTTCGATTTCATAATTTTT